TCCATGTTCTGGTCTTTAAGTTCTGAAATTCTTTCTTCTGCCAGATTAATTCTGCTTTCCATGTTGGTCATCTTGTTATTTATTTCCTGGATGAAATTTTTTATGGCCAAAATCTCTGTTACAAGTTCTTTCAGTGTTGCATCTGATCTTTTTTGAGTCTTATTCATTCTTTCCATCCATTTCCTAATCCCTATCATATTCTGGGGCCAGTCTTTGGTGACTTCCATTGTTTCGGCTCCAAGGTCTGATTTTTCAGGTGTTTTCTCTTTGGTACACTTGAAATTACCTGTGGTCTTCCGTTGGTTTGTCCTCATTTGTGCCAGATCTCTTGCTTTCTCTTTAGTTCCATTATTCAGTGTCAGTGAGAGAGGCGTTCACTTCTATTGTTTATTTAGCCCTCTATTCTTCTCTGATCTGGGCTCTGGATTTGTTCTATTTTGAAACAGATCACTGATCCCTTTGGAGGTTTTCCTTGTCCTTTTCTGGCCACAACCTTTGTCCCACAGCTGAATCAGGGTAGGGGGTGGGGTGCCTGAGACTCAGAACTTGTTCTGTCCCTCCAGAGTCTGTGCTTTCAGGATATTCCCTCTGGGTTACAGTCAATCCCTGAGTAGTTGATCCACCAGTCACAGAGATTGGGTCTGTTGCTCTGTGGTGAGCAAGTCAGAGCTCTTTCCTGCCTAGGTTTCAAGATGGTGGTGGAGTGCCTCTTTCATCTTCTCCAGTGGGACTCTGCCTATGGGCTCTCTCCGCAGCCCTTATTGCCAGTGTCTGGCTAGCCACTGAAGTGGTGAGGCAAAGCCTGGAGCTGGCCATCTCTCCCGCTGCAGTGGTAAGACAGAGCCTAGAACCTGTAGTCTCTCCCCGCTGCATCTTTGCAGGAAAACTTTTGTCTGTTTAAAAAAGAAGTTGCACTTGGCTTCTGTACCTGGGAAGCACTAGGGACCAAGCAGAGCAGCTGCAGCACTAGCTGCTTCACCAGGAGGGCCCTGGCCACCTGCTCATGAGCTCCTACTCCATCTGTCTCTCCCAGCATCTTCTTCCCAGGAAGAGTTTCATTGATTAAAAAAGAAAATGGCACTCAGCTTCTGCATCCTGGGACTTGCTAGGGTCCAAGCCAAGGAGCTGCAACACCAGGAGAACAATGGCTGCTAGCTTCTGAGACCTCTCTCAGTCAGCCACCCACATGCCCACTCACCCACTGACACATACAAAAAATTTTCCACACACTCACTCACTCATACCAGGACTTGCATAGCCTGATTGGCTTGTCTGCCATCTTCCCAACTCACATATTGGGGATTTATTAGGTATTTGTTGATGAAATAATTAATACATCTTACATTCTTGACAAGACTAAGAATGACTTTAAATATAACATGTATTTATAATGCTGTAATCTGTTTTACATTTCATGAGGGAGAAATTTTTTGTATTTTCTCCTTGTAGTTTCTTAGATTAAATTGGTGAAGAGAAAAAGAATGTCAATATATTTTTTAAAACCCAAATATATAAAATCCCAACATTTAATATATAAAATATATAAATATATATTTTAAAATCCCAATATATAAAATTTATTTGGCTTATAAGATATGGTTTCTTGTATTTTAATAATGTACTTTCAGTATGTAGAATAACTTCTGACTCCAAAAAAAGAAAAGAAAAATTTGAAGCATAATATTGTGTAGCATCAACATAATTTGTATTAGTTATTCACCTGGGATCCCAAGCAAAGGATATTTGTTATTAAGCTACCTGAAAGGCTTTAACTAGGCTTACAGAATGAACACTAAGAGCATTCAGTTAGAAGTAGAAAGAGTATTCCTAATAAGTACAAGAGGTTTTTCTTCCAAATCATAATAATATTATTAAATAAATGCTTATAATTTTTTATTGCTTATAAAATACAAAACTATATTTAAGGATATGGTTTAGTATCTAAATCTTTAAGTGGAAGTTTCACGTATATTTTATCTTGATGCTTTCAATATTTGTAATACATTCTTAGAATTCAGTAGTATGTTATTTTGGTTAGATTCTTTGCATAAAAATATTTTTAACAAGAGAAAGGGAATTTTTTAGTGTATACTTTACTAGTATTGGACTAATCATCTCAGGATTTACTCTCAGTTCATTTATTGCATAACCTTCATTATATAAGCAAACTTTACTGTTCCATTTTCTCTATGAAATAAAATGAAAGGGTTGAAATTTTATAATATTTGGAAGTCTTTGAAAGTATTGTTCCTATAAATTAGATTTTCAGTCAATATTATTGATAAACTAGTTTGATTAAGGGAATAACTTTTTCAAGACAGCTTCTACTTCTTTAATAAACATGAAATATTTGATTAAACAATAAAATATATTCTCAGATTAATTCTGTGGTATTTTAAATATTGAATTATTTTAAAATATATTATCTAAAACTTAGAAGTACATTTTCTGAAATATACTTTTTTTCTTAACCAAAGCAAGTAGTGAAAATGTTCAACATATAATGGATCATCCTCTTAACTAGCCCTTTTTCTTCTAGCTGTCCTCTCCTCCCCTCTTTGGCTGTTCTGTTAAATCAGGCTTATGGAGTGTTATGCTTGAGATAAGGTTTTATTTGAGTGGAATTATGATTTTACATTCATCTTTAAAAAATCATTTTACTTATCTTTAAAAAATCATTAATTTAGGCCAGGCACGATAGCTCATGCCAGTAATGCCAGCAATTTGAGAGGCCAAGGTAGGATGATTGCTTTAGTCCAGGAGTTTGAGACTAACTAGGAAACATAGCGAGATCTCAAAAAAGTTTAAAAATAGCCAAGTGTGGTGGTGCATCCCTGTAGTCCCAGCTACTCAGGAGACCTAGGTGGAAGGGGCAGTTGAGCCCAGGAAGTTGAAGCTGCAGTGAGCTGTGATCATTTCACTGCGCTCCAGCCTAGATAACAGTGAGATCCAGACTCAAAAAAAAAAAAAATCATCATCATTAACTTTAAAGTAAAACTAAAGCCAAAAGCCTCATTCATACAACATTATATATGCATATGAGACCTTTAAACTTTTTAAAAAATCTGAAACCAGTTATTTTTTTGTTTTTAGTATTCAACACTCCCTAATATGATGTTGACGTTAGGAAACAAGCAAGAATAGCTCTCCTCTGACTCTTAGATTGTAATTTTAAACAGTGATGGGCTTAAGATGGGGAATTAAAAAGTGGACCTTTTCTTATGCAAGAAATACTGGGAGTCAGCACAGTGATTTATGCCTGTAATCCCAACACTTTGGGAGGCTGAGGCAAGAAGATTGCTTGAGCCCAGGAGTTCAAGACCAGCCTTGGCAACAAAGTGAAACCTTGCCTTTACAAAGAAAAAAAAAATCAAAAAATTAGCTGAGTATAGTGGTGCATCTGTAATCCCATCTACTTGGGAGGCTGAGTTTGAGGCCACAGTGAGTTGTGATCATGCCACTGCACTCTAGCCTTGGCAACAGAGTAAGACCATGACTCCAAAAAAGAAAAAAAAGAAGAAGAAAAAGGAAAAATAAATACTGGGAATAATAAATAGATGATTCCTAATATCAAAAACCATAATTCTTTTCTAAATTCAAAAGGCTCATATAATTAGGTGATTTAGTACCACTGGAAGTATAGTTATTCTAGGAGTCAGTAGTATATTCTGCCAACAGCCAATTTAGTCATTGAGGCAGGGACAAAATCTCAGATATATGTATTTGTCTAAATATCTTTATCTTTATTCTCAATAGAATATATAGAAAATTCTTCATTTATTTTACTAATCTTTGCTAGGTTGAGACTTTTAGTATTTCTCCTTTTATATAAATCAGTAAAAATAATTTATATAAGTCCAAGGAAACAGAAAACATTTATTCCAAACTAATCTGCTCACCATATTTGTTTGCAGCCTTACATCTGTTAGAGGGTAAATACGTGTCTATTATTTTCCATTTTGTGCTTTTTATCTATAAATAATTCTTTTTGAAGTATAGCATAGGTTAAGTCCTCTTTAGATAATGTGTTCTTATAGAAAGTAGTATGGCATAATAGAAGATACTTAGAACTTTAAGGAGAATTGAGGTGCCTCCTTAAGCTCATCTAACATGAACTTTGGCAAATTGTTTTACCTCTTACTTTTTTTTTTATGACAAATTTGAAACATGAGGGTTCCTTTTGCACTTAATTATTGTCATAGGCATAAACTAGTTTTTACATAGTACCATGTTTTAAATTAAGTAGATGAAATGATCTTACATTGTTTTACTGAAAAAATACCTCAGGTCCATATAATGATATTTTTAAAAAGTATTTTAAAAACTAATAATAAGCAAAACAGAAGACTTTTCAGAAATTAGCAAAGGAAGATTCATGTTCCCATTTTTGTCCAAAAGATAACGAGTGCTTTCTTTTTCGTGCGCAGCCACCTTTGTTTTGTGGGTCATCTACTCTGTTAGGATTGCACTACTAAGTTAATATAAATTACTAAGGAGCAGACCTTTCCAATGCTTAGTGTAGTCAATAACTCTTGGAATTACAGAAAAACGAATTATTTATGTTTTATATAGAGTGCTTGAGTCTACTTAGTTTTGAAAATAGACCAGTATAAGTGACCTGGAATTTGCCACCTTTTGCGTTAAATTTGTGTGTCTTCACAATTAAGGGAACACGCTGGGCACTCTAGGCCCTTTGAAAGAGTCACTTTGGAATTCTTTACAAGAGAGGTAGAAATACTCATAAGGCTTTTTGTTATGGTGACAGGTTTTTATTTGTGTGTGTGTGTGTGTGTGTGTGTGTGTGTGTGTGTGTGTGTGTGTGTGTGTTTTGGAGGAGGGTCTAAATATCTTTAAAACTTCAGTGATAGAAGTATGTTTTCAAAAAACATATAAAGTAAATAAATTTAGGTCTTTCTACAAGTTTGGGCTCTAAATGATTTCTCTAGTTCAAACTTCAATTTGTGTTTAATATTTGCATATTCATCTATTTCATTTTTTAGGAGATTTTATGAAGATGGAGCAATTGTCTTGGGTGAGGAAGCAAATATGCTTGCTGGCATGCTGCTAGGACTCAATGCTATTGATTTCAGGTACAATATAATCAAATGCATTCAGTTTTAAAATTTTTCTACTCTTAATAGTTTCTACTTAAGATTTTTTCTTTAATTTTTTAGGTGAAACACATAGTTGGATATTGGTATTTGATTCATGTTGTTCCCTTTCAGTTTGTTTTCTAAATGGTTTTGCTCTCTGAAAAGAGACTGTCTCTAACTTAAGGAACTGACAGGCTTGCTCTCTAGCTTAGATAAAAGAAAAACTTAGACTACCTTCCACCTACCACCCACCCTCCTATTGAAGAAGAGTTGTGTATCTTATCTCTTAGTGTTTTTCAGCTACTGCTTTAAAATGAAAAGAAATAGAGTTAAAGGAGATTCAAAGCCAGAAAGATAATCATTATCTCATATGTGAAGATAAAGAGGATCCTAACAGGATGTCTTGGGTATATTATGTATCTAGAATATCAAAAGATATTGTTAATATTTGCTTTTATTATCCTTACTAAGATATCAAGTACTAAAAAAAAGGGACAATATAAGTTCTATTTAGATTTATGGGAACATCTTTTTGCATTTTAAAAATTGAGCTCAGATTTTACATTATTTTAAATGTAAAAGGTTTGTTTGTAAGAAAATTCAGACACAAAAATTAAGGAAATACTATGTTTTTATTGAAATATAGCATTTGAAAATGTAAGAATATTGACTAAGTATAAGGTATATGAAAGTCTACTTTTAGGTCTGAAATTTAAAATACTTCTTATTTTCACTAAGTTTATCTTCTTTTTTTTTTTTTAGTAAGTCACTTTCTTTTCTAAATATTTGTGATTTTTAAGTCTCACTTTTCTCTATTTGAGATTTAATAAACTAGTATTAAGTTAATTGGCTTAATTGTTTAGGATGAGCGTGATATAGGGAATATGAAGTTTGTCTTTTTGATCCCTCTAAGGATGTTAAGTTTTTATATGACATGTTGCTGGCTCTGTCTAAATTTTACAGTCTTGATTTTGTTTGTTGGTATAAGAATGCTGTTGTTTTAGAGTTACCCAGTGATTACCCTGTATTATCAGCTGAAAGCGAGTGTTTTCAAGATACATAAGTAATGTATCTTTAAGGTACCTAAAATAAAGGAAAGCCATATAAAGTATTGCTACCTTGATTCTCTCCTTATTTAAGTCTGGAAAAGTATATACAGATCCTCAATATTAATATATTAGAATAGGTATTTTATCAGGCAAACTTCTGAAAGAAACTGGAAGGTGAGAGTCCATAGGTTAATTTTTTCCTTTGAAAGATCAACCTATATCTTATTAGTATTCCTATGTCCATCTTCCTAGAAGATTTACATTTTTCTTTTAACTTTAGTAATCATAAAACCAAACGCATTTTGGTTATTTTATTGGATGTACCATTATACAAAAGCAGATTACTGAATGGGGGAATCAGGAGATCTGGAATTTCTTTAATGACTCTACAAGACTCGTAGTAGTATGATTTTGGACATGCCACATTGTTTGTAATGTTTACTTTGTTCCCATGGCCACAAAAAGGGTTGGCTGGAGATTAGAGGATTTTTAGCATCCTATGTCGGCTAAGATCCAAGTCTTTACAGCTATTCAGATAGTTTAGAAAACCTTTGTTTTCTAATCAGTCAAATCTTTTTAGGGAATATTCAGTGTCGTTTGAGAATTTGTATTTAAATATGAAAAGCAAATCTTAATTTTAAAATTCTCTATTGATATCTTGACCGTCAAAGACCAAGATAGTATCAAATAAAGAGATAAGGTTAGAACAAATGCCTTAGTAAATTGTACATATGCTTGATACATTTATATAACAATGTATTAACTTGTATAATGCTTTTTCATTGGTATTGAAGGTAGATTATTTTTACTGAAGTATTTATTTGCAACATATAATAATTAAATTGCAAACAAAAAATCCACCTACAATTTGATGAAAGAAAATTTTCTAGCAAGAGATAACATTTAACTTTGATTTAAAGTTGTATGTATTAATTTTAAATGTTTATTGTCTATTGTCTTAGCTTCTGCCTAAAGGGAGAGGGATTGGATGGCAACTTTCCTGCTGTAATAGACTATACTCCATATTTGAAGTTTACCCAAAGGTATTTGACATTTTGAAATATGGTCTTAAAATATTTATAACTTGTTGTACAATGCTCACTTGATTAAAACTACTTTGTACAAAACATTTGTTTCAGTATCAGGAATCATTAAAGAGTATCAAGTTCAATTGAAATTTTAGTGCTTATGTAAATATATACTTCTTACATAATTGTAATCCTAGCATATAGTTTTAAAAATAACAAACTCATTTATTTATATTGCTATAGTCATATAGTAATAACTTAAATAATTGTGAAATAGTCCAACTGAGACTTCAAAACTGTAAGCCACTATTTAGGTTGTTTTCCATTTTATCTCCATTATAAAAAAATAATAATGAATATACTTCAAACTGGAAGGTAGGAGTTCATAGATTAATTTTTTTCTTTGAAAGATCAACCTACATCTTATCAGTATTCCTATGTCTATCTTCCTAAAAGATTTGTGTTTCTTTTAACTTTAGTAATCACCGAGGTGAGTGGATTACCTGAGCCTGCGGGTTTGAGACCCGCCTGGGCAGCGAGACCTCATCTCTACAATAAATAAAAAAATCAGCTGGGCATGGTAGCGTATGCCTGTAATTCCGGCTACTTGGAAGGCTGAGACGGAAGGATCACCGGAGCCCAGCAGGTCGAGGCTGCGGTGACCGGAAGCGGCCACTGCACTCCAGTCTGGGCAACAGAGTGAGACTCCAACTCAAAAAAAATAATAATAATCACCAAACCAAACACCTTTTTTTGGTTATTTTATTGGATGTACCATCATACAAAAACAGATTACTGGATTGGAAGAATACAGTAATTTCCTTTTATTTCTATTGTAAATTTTTTCTTTACTTCTATTGTAATTTTTTGAAATATTTGAATAAGTTCAATGAAAATTTGATGACTCTTAAAGTATGGCTTTATAAAAGAGTTGTACCAATTTATCCTAACACTAGTATTGTGTGTGACTTTTGGATTTCCCACAATTTTATCAGCACTGAAAATTAATTAAATGAAATCTATAGATATTTATAAGTTCTGCTTGAAAAATAGATTTTCCTGAATAGAATGATGATTTTATATACTTCTAAAATATTGTAATCATGGAAAAGCTATAAGATACTATGCATGTGTGTAAACTATGTGTATATTTAATATATGTACACACACATATTTATTGAGGACCTAACATAGGAGAGAAATTTTCCTACATGCTAGGGATACATAGACATCAAGAGTATCCTGAAAAAGAACACAGTCAGACCTTTTCCCAAAGATAATCACCATCTCATAAGAGAAGTCACTAATACTTCAGAGCTAGGAGTGTGGAGATATTTTAGATGGTGAGGGAGAAGAAATAGAGTTGTGACACCAAGATACTCCATTTGAATAAGTGGATTCCCTGGAAAAAGGAACAATTCTAGTACATTAAATCTATAAAAGAAATACAGAAAGATGTATTGAGCAGGCATAAAATTATATCATTTGAGGATATGTTGGATTATAAGACTTTTTGAAAAAGATTAGTAGTTCAAAATACTATAGGAACAATATTTATTGAATTTTACTATATATCAGGTATCTAGATACTTTACATCTATGAATTCATTTACTATTCAAAAGACAGTGAAATAGATGAGATCAGGTGCATTCAGGGTGGTATGTTCATAAACAAAAGCCATTGACATAGAATCTGCTATCTCTATTTTACAAATGAGAAAGTAGAAACACAGAAAGGTAAAATAGCTTTTTCATAGTCACACAATGGCTACACATAAAATGCTATTTTATGGCAGATTGGGTAAAATACAAGTCTAGAATTAAAGAGCAAGTTGTCATCTGGAAATAGGAGTTTGGTCATCAATATATAGGTAAAAAGGCTATTTTCAGTGATTTAGGAAATGACTTAAGTTAAAATAACTTCAGTAATTACTAATTTTCCTCTCATACTATATATAAGAGGCTGAAGATATTACTCAATGTTTTGGAAAGATATAATAATGAACCATCTCAGAATGATTTTAATACTTTAAACCCAACTGCTAAGTTACTTTTTTTTTTTTTGAGTTGGAGTCTCACTCTGTCGCCCAGGCTGGAGTGCAGTGGCCGCTCCCGGCCACTGCAGCCTCGACCTGCTGGGCTCTGGCAATCCTTCTGCCTCAGCCTTCCAAGTAGCCGGAATTACAGGCATGCGCTACCAAGCCCGGCTGATTTTTTTGATTTATTGTAGAGATGAGGTCTCGCTGCCCAGGCTGGTCTCAAACCCTCGGGCTCAGGCAATCCACTCACCTCAGCCTCCTAAAGGCACGGGATTACAGGCTGAGCCACCGAGCCTGGCTACTAAGTTACTTTTTGTCTGAGTTTTTTAAATACAACTTTGTCTTTCTTTGATGCACTAATTCAAACATGTATGTATAACTTCTCTTCCTTTATATACTGAAGAATTTATACCATCTTGTATAAGGATACTAAAATGAGAAGAGAAATGCCAATTAAAATTAGTCATAAGTCAGTCAGCATTACTGACCATGGAGTTTTTCTTTTCAGAAAAATTTAAATCATATTAACTGTAATAGACATAAAAAGAACCAATTGTTGCCAGGCACGATGGCTCAAGCCTGTAATCCCAGCACTTGGGAGGCAGAGGCAAAAGGATTGCCTGAGTCCAGGGGTTTGAGACCAACCTGGGCAACTTGGTGAAACCTCATCTCTACAATAAATAAAAAAATTAGTCGGGCATGGTGGCTCACGCCTGTAGTTCCGGCTACCTGAAGGCTGAGGAGGAAGAATCACCTGAGCCCAGCAGGTTGAGGCTATGGTGGACGTGAGCATGCCACTGCACTCCAGCCTGGGCAATAGAGTGAGACTCCAAAAAAAATAATACATATTACTTGTAGAAAATTAGAAAATACAGAAAGAAGAAAGTTTAAGTCACTAATTATCTTACCTTCAAGTAGCTGCTAGAAGCATTAAAATTTTGATGGATGACTTTCCAGTTTTTTTTATGTATGAATACATTATATTTTCTTTAGTGAAAATGGAATCATAATGTATATGTAACTTTATTTTCCTTAGTACTGTATAATGAACAATTTTAAATGATGTTAACTAATTCTCTACAACATCATTTTAAAAAATGAATAGAATTTCATTGTATAGTATGTTGATCCTGTTATTGTTGGACTCTGTGGAGTATAGGTACATTCAGTTATTCACTGTAATATATACTGTTACAGTTAATATCATTGTGACTGCATGTTTTTATACAGAACCATGATTATTAAGTTAAAATCCTAAAAGGGGAATTTCTATGTTAAATAGCATATATATTATTAAAGTTTTTGATAAATACTCTGAAATTGCCCTTGAGAGAGGTCATATCAATTCAGTTTGTAACAGCAATATGTGAGAATGCCTGCTTCTCACTCTTTCCAACTGAGTATTAAAATTGTGGCCACTTTTATAAGTGAAAAATGACATTCTGCTATTTTAATTTGCATTTATTTGATTACTAGTGAAGGTCAATTTTACAAATGTTTATTAAAATGTCTTTTTTAAATGGAAATTTTAAAAGCTAAGCCTTCATTCATACTTACTCTGAAACTAAGTATATGAAATATGTAAGTAGAAAACATTTTAAATTATATTTTATATTTAAAATTGATTTAATTAAGTTTTAGATTATATACCAGTGAGAAAACGGTTGCTTTTATTTGAGTTACTGTTTGATATAACTTTAAACATTTTTGGCTAATAAGCCTGAAAAGTCTAGTAGCTAATAATCATTGGTCTTATATGATACCTTTAATTTTTCATTTATTTTATTTTATATTTGAGTTGTGGGGTACAAGTGAGGATTTGCTACATAAGTAGGCTGCATGCATGCAGGTGAAGTTTGGGTTTCTAGGTGACCCACTCTCCCCTTGGTGGTGGACCAGGTATCCATTGTGTTGCCACGTTCCTTTGTCCCTCTTTCCTCCCTCTCCTAGCAGTGCCCAGGGACTGCCAATGCCACCCTTGTGCTAATGTGACTAGTGTTCAGGACCTGCTTATGAGTAAGAATATGCAGCATTCAGTTCTTTGTTTCTGTGGTAGTTCACTTAGTTTGATGGTCTCTAATTGCATCCAACTTGCTGCACAGACTATGATTTTGTTCTTCGTGGATGCATAATATTTCTTCATGTGTATGTACCACCTTTTCTTTATCCAGTCTACTTTCAATGGGCAGTAGGGTCGGTTCTGTGTTTTTGCTATTGTGAATAGTGCAGCAATAAACATGAGTGTGCAGATATCTTTTTCATAGAGTGATTTAAGTTCCCATTCGAGGGATACTGGATCAAATGGAAGGTCAATTTTTAGTTATTTGAGAAGTCACTACACTGCTTTCCATAGAGGTTGAATTAGCTTACATTCCTGCCAAAAGTAAAGAAGCATCCCCTTCTTTCTGCAGCTGCACCAGCACCTGTCATTTTTTGAGTTATTAGTAACAGCCATCCTTAAAAGCATGAGATGTTTTGTCCTTGATATTTTGAGCAGTGTTTTGTAATTCTCATCATAAAGATCTTTCACTTCTCTGGTTAGATAGATGCCAAGGTATTTCTTTCTTTCTTTCTTTTTTTAAAGTTGCTATTGTGAATGGGATTGTGTTTTCATTTGGTTCTTAGCCTGCTTGTTGGAGCTGTATAGAAATGCACCTGTCTTGCACGTTGATTTTTGTAACCTGAGACTACCAAAGTCATTTATCGGTGAAGGAGGTTTTTGACAGACTCTCTAGTGTTTTCTAGTTTAGAATCATATCATCTGCAAAGGGATAACTTAACTTCCTCTTTTCCTATATGTAGACCACTTATTTCCTTCTCCTGCCTGATTGCTCTGGCTAGGACTTTCAGTACCATGCTGAATAGGAGGAGTGAGAGTGGACATCTTTGTCTTATACCAGATCTTAGGGAGAATGCTTCTAGCTTCTGCCCATTAAACAAAATGTTGGCTGCAGGTTTGTCATAGATAGCTTTTAT